ATCTCACGATCCATCGTCACATCTCACGACCCATCGATCCATAGATCCATCTCACGATCCATCGTCACATCTCACGACCCATCGATCCATAGATCCATCTCACGATCCATCGTTACATCTCACGATCCATCGATCCATCTCACACTCAATCGTTACATCTCCCGATCCATCGTTACATCTCCCGATCCATCGTTACATCTCCCGATCCATCGTTACATCTCCTGATCCATCGCTCCATCACGCCCAGATACTAGAAATCCTCCCCGAGTTGAGATTAAAGTCTCTTCTCTTAAATTAACTCGGTTAAACTTTTTCCAACATGTGGTCAAAACGTCTTCTTAATAGCGCCGTGTGGTGAATAAGATTGTGATTTCATAAAAAATGCAAAGCTGTTCTCCATTTTAGTGGTGATGAAATATGCATAAAGGTTTCCGCTTAAAGAGCAGATCGTTCAGGTCCACCTGCTGCTTTATTACATCAGGGTTGAAACGATGAGTTGACAAAAACATCTTATTGTTTGGGTTTGAGCAAAAAGCAATTAAGAACAACAAAAAAGGTTTAAAAGCTCAAGAGACACTAAGCCACCCACCTGTATTTTTACAGCTATCGACAGAGAGTTCAGCTCCTTATCCAGTTCTTTAAGAACAACCAGCTTCTTCAGCGTGAGGCTGCAGAGTCTGTGGGAAACACACAACACTGACGTTTAGAAAATATAACTGTGGCACGTCTAACACAGATGAATGAGCTAKAATCTGATGRGGCAGTAGCTGAGAGTCATCCTGAACACACAGTCTGAGTGCTAACAGGACTAAACCAGCAGCTGATTTATGACACCATCATTTGCTCTGATTTATCGTATATTATGAACGTGAGTTCTTGTAAACGCCCGACGCACAAAAGCTTAATCATCGTCTTTATAAGCAGCTGAATAAGGAATTAGTTTGTGGGAAAAGTGACAAATGCTTTTAAGTCACAGTGCAGTAAAATGTCTGCTGCTCAGTGAGTCACTGACATTTAGATCTACTCACACCCTATTTAAAGAAAACCTGAAACGATTCATTCATTTTTACAAATAGCTCCAAGATATCCYTTTGATTTGCAAACAAAATGCTTCTACAAAATAAAACATTTGACTGTCCTGAAAAAATAATCACGCAAACTATAGAAACAAGTTTATTAAATTAAATGTAGTTTTAAAAAAAAGGCTGAACACAGTGACATTCTTGAAATTTGTCATATAAGCTGCAACGGAGTTGTTAAAGATAAAAGAACCCTACCATTAAAAGCTAAAAAAGAAAAACACTYGATAAAAGCAAAGTGTAGCAAATAGTTAGCTACAAGTGACCAAATTCTTTCTAAAGCAGCAAATGTACAGCTAAAGATATCAAAAGGCTAGCTGTAAGAGTAGGAGAACCAAAAAGCTTTAAAATGCTAAACTTAGCAAAAAAACAGTTTAAAAACAAAAATGGTACCTAAAAGATAAAAGTAGATGAGTGATAGCTAAAAGCAGACAAAGCAGGGCTAAAAGTACCAATAGGCTAGCTAGAAGCTTAAAGAAGCACAAACAAAAAGGTTAAATAAAAAACTAAACAGGGAAAAACCAGCGTAAACAAGAAAAAGCTTACCTAGAAGCTAAAAGTAACAAATCGTAGCTAAAAGTAATAAAACCATGACTAGAAGTACCAAAAGGCTAACTAAAGGTATCAAAAGGCCAACAAGAAGCTTAAAGCTGCGGAAATGAAAAGGGTACCTAAAAGCTAAACTTTGCAAAATATAAGCTTAAAGATGAACAAGTTTACCTAGAAGCCAAAAGTAGCAGAAATGCAGCTAAAAGTAACAAAACCATGACTAAAAGTAGCAAAAGGCTAGCTAGACGTTTAAAGTAGCAGAATCAAAAAGGTTAAATAAAAAGCTAAACTTAGATAAAAACCAGCCTAAAGAAAAAAATAATACATAGAAGCTAAAAATGAACAGAATGGTAGCTAAAATTATGGCTAAATGTACCAAAAGGCCAGCTAAAATCTTAAAGTCGGAGAAACAAAAAGGTCAACTAAAATGCTAAACTTTTAAATACCAGCATGAAGAAAAAAAGTRTACTRATAGAAGGTAAAAGTAGCAGAARGATAGCTAAAAGTAGCAAAACKCTTGCTAAAAGTASCAYTGGGCTAGGCCAAAGCTAAATATAGCATGAGACAACAAAAACAGAGCAGTTTGCTGAAACAGATTTTCAAAGAACAAACATTGTTAATGATAGGAATAAGATTTATGCATTTTAATGATACAAATTACATTATTTTGACAAGTATAAAAGCCATCCCAGAATAGCACCCAAAACCACCTTTGGACAAATAAAAAACATGAAAACAATGCAAATGCTGAATCAGCATAAAACTAAATGTAAACAGATTCAGATTTTGGTTTTGACCGTTCACACCTGGCTTTTTCCTGCATGTTCTTAAAGAGCGACAAGCAGTTCTGCTATTTCACAGAAGGCAAACAGTCTGTAAGTACTTCAGGTTTGAATAATGAAATGTCAAATACAAAAGGTGGGGCCTGAACCCCGCCCCCCCCCCCCTTCACTTCTTCTCTCTGCAGATACTACATCACATGAAACTAAAACAACTGGAGCTGGAGAGGTCGTGTCGGGTCCCAGGGTTTTTATTTTTATATATACTGTATTTATATATTGCTATTATTGCTAGACAGAAGCATTATCTGCATTCCTGTTTGCCACGGTGTTTTGTTGTAAGTGAGACTCTCTGTGCCAGTTTGTTCCGCTGCCCAAAAAAACCTCATTTCAGCAACCGACCACGTGTTTATAAAAAAAAAAAAACAGGACTCGTTATTGAGCTGAAGCGGCTAACATACACTGATAATTAGCTTTATAAAGGGATATAGTGTTTGTAATAAAACAAAACGAGGCTTGAGGAATCCCTTCTTTAACCCTGTTTTGTTTTGTTGTTCTGAGTGGCCTGCTGTACGATCACCGTACACCCAACTGGACCAGAACTAAATGGAGTTAGTGGTCCACGCAGAAGGCAGGGTTGGTGTAGCGTCGATACTGCTGCCTCACGTTCAGTGTTTCTCTGAARGGGAGGTGGAAAGCAAAGATAAGGGGAACTTTTTTCTGTCTGCTGCTCAGCTGATAAGCACCCAGGAGGGAAGCCCCTCCGTCTGTTTAGGTGGTTTCATTGCAAGTTCGTCACAACCGAACCAGGTTTCGTCTTGCTGTTGGGCAACAGTGCTTACCAGGAAGTTATTACACCAAAAGTTATCTTTTTTTCTGACTGACGTCGACGTAAAGCAATCAGATGTACCCATGTTTTGATTGACGGCGCCCTGCAGGCGTCTGAGGACAGCTAATCTATATATCTAATCTATATGACWTCGCTCGCAGCAAAAACGTAGCGCTGCATCATTTAAGCCCATTAGTCCAAGTCCCGCACTAAATGTTGACCTTTTAAGTAGAGGTCGTTTAGACAAAAATGCCATTTCTACCAACAGACAGTCAAAATAACTGGGGTGTGCACATTTTCTTCTGCCAAAATGACATAAAGAGCATTTTGAACGCAACGCCAAGAACAATACGACTGAATAACAATCACTATATCATCTAGTCTTTCACAATCAGAGATTTTGGAAGAGTTGAGGTTTAGTTCAAGGATATTATTATTTTTTTATTTTGTTTATTTTTTGTTTTTTTAAATTGGCAAGTATTAAAATGTTAAATAGAGCTGAATTTGAGCTTTGTCATCTCAATAAATGAACGGTCACTCTCTGCAGGTCCTGGGATGTAGCAGGCAAATTAAATCAACGTGTTGCCTCGAGACTAAACCACAAGTTGTTGCACTAAATGGTCACGTGTTATGGCTTTTATTTTGACGGGTTGCTTTGTGCCAAAAAACTTCCATTTTGTTGTGAAACTTCTGGGACAATAACATTTTTCAGAAAAATGTTGGAGAGTTCGAGATGACGACAAGGATCTTAACAAAAACAAGAAGATGAGCAAAATTTGCCAAGAACTGGAGGAAAAACGACAAATTGTGGTTAGCATGAATGCTAATATTAAAGCAAACATAAACTTAGACACAGAGGGAACAGAGTGGAGGTGAAACACAGGTCACGTTTGCTGATAGGGCTGTGTATTGGCAAGAATTTGGRGATACGATACATATCATGACAAAAGGGTCACGATACGATATTTCCCGATATATTGCGATACTGTAAGCAAGGTGATATATTGCGATTTTTTTTGTCCAAAAATTCTATTAAATAAAACCTCTTACTGGAAAAAAATGAAAAACCAAAATTCATTGCCTCAGAAAATTCTTATATCACATAGACATAATTTTGATACATTTAGCTGTGTTCTGCTTTGTATGTATTTTATTTGTTCCATATTTCTTATTTCATCCATGGTTTCAATTATTAGACTAAATTTTGCCAATAAATAGTTTTAAAATGTATTTTTTACAGCTTTTAGTTTTTAATATTAATTTACATTAAGGTCACCCAACACTTAACAATAGCCTCTACCTCAAGAGGTAGAGGAGCCAAATGTCTGGCTCACTGCTGCCAACTAGCTGTCAGAGGCTGAACTACAACATAAAAATGAATGGCTGGCAGGAAAGTTGACATTTTAAACCTTAATAAAAAATCGATACAGGGATTTAGAGTATCGATACAGTTTCAGGAAATGAAATATCGCGAAATTTCAGTGTATCGATATTTTCTTACACCCCTATTTGCTGATGACAGAAGGATGTACTCAGGTCCCAACACAATAAATGATAAAAACTAGAGAAATTAAACGTCCTGCAAAAATACAGTGTGAATGCTTCGTGCTAAATAATTATGCTGAAAGCTGCTGAAGAAGATGAAATTAGTAATTAATGTTTGTCGAATTTTAAAAGGTGAGGTTAAACCCAAAATTAGTTCAATAATTGCTGAAATTTGTTAAAGAACCCAAACTGAAAACTAAAGCTTCAAGGGACAGAGAAAAGCTGCAGAAATATGTAAAAAGTAAAAAGTAGAAATATAACTGAAAGAGGCAGAAAAAGTGAAAGGAGCAAAAGAAAAGTTTCAAGTAGCAGAACAAGAAGTTAAAATTAGCAGAAAAAGGTCAGCATAACAGCTAAAAAAGCATAAAAAAAGCTAAATTAGCAATATAGAAGCTGAAGCAAGCTGAAATTAGCACCGAGAAATTAAAAAAGCAGAACCAGAACAAAATGTAAAATGAACAGTAAAGATTTATAAACATTTTGAAGGTTTTAAGGAAGCTGAAAACAGCTCCATTCATTTTCAATGAGAAAAAAAATGGCCAAAATCTAAATATCTCAAAAAGTACCAACTGATGAAATACCAAAAGTAATAGTTGGAAGGTCCTGAAGGAGATCAATGTTTTGATACAGAAATTMTTGAAATAGAACAAAAATTGTGGAACYATAGACGTGTCAAAAAGAACATTATTATTCACATGATAACTCTCCAATTCAGACAAAAACCTATTTGTAACACACAAAAAGTGTAAAAATCATTTACAGTTTTTCCTTCAGCCTTTTTCAGTTGGTTTTAAAAGAWGAGGCATCGGCTCATCTCTAGAAAACAACCGCTCCGTCACAAAAACACCAACAGAGACACAACTTCCTGTTCCCTCTTGTTAAAGCCGAATAAATTA